CTATGTGAGTCAGTCTATGTGAGTCAGTCCGTTTATCAGACTTCCGTTGCATCTATACTCATCCTACATTGGTTGATTCTTGGTTCTGCCCATACTCATTGGAGTATGCTACACTAACCTTGAGAATGTCTGAAAAATGTCTGAAAAATGTCTGAGAATGTCTGAGAATGTCTGAAAATGTCTGAAATTCCTGAAAAGAGTCTGAAAAACTGAAAAACTGAAAAGCTGAAAAGCTGAAAAAGGTCGGCAAACCACCACCTCAAATTCCTTATACCTGCCGCTTCGGCCAGCTTTGTGGTCGCCTGATGAAAATGATATAGTTCCAATTCCTCCCTCCAACCCTACCCTCTTTCCATCTGGAGACAACAAAACCACGTGCTTCTCAAATGAGAACACTGAGGAAGACTGAGGACTGAGGGGGACTGGGAAAAAGCGAAAACACTGAGAGAAACGCTGAGAAGAGGAGCTGTCTGTCTACCCTTTAAACAGAGAGAAACCAGAGAGGACAGAGAGAGGACAGAGAGAACCATCCCATACTTCTACCGGACTCGGCGTCCCGCTAACCATCCCCTTGAAGGACTTCTACAAGTGATAACGGATGGGGGGGGAAGGGGTCTGGGAACTCTGCCGCTGATCTAAGGGGGATACCGGGGTCTATTTCGATCCAGTTTCAGAAGGAAAGTTTGTAGTCTCTGGGTATCTCTCCCCCTGCCGCCCCTTCCTCCTCAGGTTGGTTGTCCCCTGACCAGGATACCCATGCCATCCATCCCCCCCTCCTTCCTCCCAACCAGTTTTCACAAAACCGAGTGATTATGCCAGCGATGTCTTTCCTGGTATGCATGAAATTCATTTGCTGTCTGGCCGTTTGCCATTGGTTTGTGATTTCTGCATTTATTTGCTGCCTGACCGTCTCAGCTACCTCTCCCTCCACTACCCGTGCACCCTCAATTTCCAAGATGCACCTTCTCCACCATATCACCCATAGGATAGTTCGCCCGCCCACCCGAAAGAGGTTCCGGGTCAGTGGATCATCCGGGCATTGTGGCCAGTGGCCCGTCAGTAGTGCTCTCCAGTCCCATGGCCAGCCAGTGTCAGGGACTGTCTGCCGCCATATCCTGTCCCACCACTGCCACAACAGTACGGATGACGGACATTGTAAAAAGAGGTGCTCAATAGTCTCATTTTTTTCCCGCGGAGGGTAGCTTTGCAGGCATCTTGTGCACCAAGGCAAAGCCCGTCCTTGCTGTTCTAGCCTAGTGTGATCAATCAACCATTCGTTGGTTGGGAGACATCGGTGGGCAACCTGCCACTGAAGGGACTGCGCTAACCTTGATTTGCTCACCGTTCGAAATCATTATGGTGCATTGGTTTGCCAACTCTTTTTTTCTTCTTTTTTTTCTTTCCAAGAACACCCGAGCGGAAGCTAGGGGTGCTGGTAAGAGCAGGCACCACTAGCTTGCCAACTCTCAAGGGAGGTGTCAGGTTACAAATCCGGATACGAGTAGAGAGCGCTTAGGGTCTCGTTCGACACCACTAGAAAACCCTTACATGTAAGGGTTTCATCGTTCCACCTCTCCCTAATGACGAAAAAAAAGATGCGAAATCTGTTTTCACATTCGCGGGCGTAAGGGCGAGCCCTACAAAAATAAGGGTCTCGTTCGACACCACTAGAAAACCCTTACATGTAAGCGTTTCATCGTTCCACCTCTCCCTAATGACGAAAAAAAAGATGTGAAATCTGTTTTCACATTCGCGGGCGTAAGGGCGAGCCCTACAAAAATAAGGACTCCCCAGCCAAAACAGACGCAAACGCAAGGACGGCCGTGGAGGTGACTTGAAAGTAGGGGTGGTGCCCTTACTTTCTACGGGAAAACCGCCGACATTTTTGTTTTTTTTTTCCTCAGGTGTTTCCTTCGCGTTCCTGGTCCAAACGCTGGGTTGTCCGGTACACCATGGGACGGCGGTTCCACGGTAGTCTCCAACGGGTAGCGCCGTGGCCCGGCTGTGGCCATGCGGTACCTCTACTTAGCCGTTTCGGCTTGCGTGTGGAGGCGACCGTTGCAGGGGTCCCCGTGGAGGCGGGCACGCGAGTGCCGTTGGCAGCTCGTCTTTCGAATGCGAAGTGGGTGGTATGCGCAGCCAGTCGATATCGATGAAGCAAGAACGTCCACCTCCCACCACCCCCTGCCGGTCGTCTTCCGCGAGCCGCTATATTGGACTCTGCTTCCGCGCTTTGTCGTCATCGAAAGGTGGCAGATCTGTGTGTCGTGTTTTGCTGCAGGAGTGCATGGCTGACATGGTGAGGAAGTTAGCTCTGCTAATCATCCTGCTTGGGGCGATGGTGCTGTTCATAGCTCTGCACGCGTGCCACGTGGCCGGTGCTCGCATCCGGCGTGGAAGGAGGAAGGGGTTGAAGAGGCTTCGTCAGGGCGCTTCGGGGAGCAAAGGGATGGGGGATGAATACAGTCGGGGTTGTGAGGGTTTTGGGATGGGGAGGGGGGCGTACGAAGGAGGGAGTGGAATGCAACACTACCTCCACCACAAGTTTGATCCAAATTTGTATTCGCATCTCTCTCCTCACCAGCAGCCTTTGCCTGATGACACGACCTGGACGTCCCCTCCGTCGACATTGGGTCTGGCATGGGAGTCGACACAGACATCTTATGACACACCACCGCGAGTTGAAAGCACCGGAGGGGGTGTGGGTCCCATGTCCGCTTTGCTGGGCGAAACGCGGGGCAGAGGCCGTCATCCATTCGATTTGCAACCGTCACCCACGACCACCATGGACGTGTCTAGAACGGTCCTCGTCCAGCGGAGTGGACAGGGTGGCGGTGCGAGCACGCAGACAATGCATGCCAGTGGCCTTGACGACGGGATGTCAATGCATCGGCCGAACCAGATCTCAAGGCCTGCGCCTAGCCAGGCCGCACCAGCGGGCAGCGTGCCGTATCACCAAACTGCGGCAGGCGCGACCATGCAGGATCAGAGGCCTGATCTGGGCGGTGTTGCGGAATCCCCTCGATGCGTGGAGCGTATTGTCTGCCGGTTCAATAGCTTGAGGGCTACCAGCGACGGTGACGGAGCAGGCACGACCATGCAGGAACGGAGGCCTGATGTGGGTGGGGTAGCGGAATCCCGTAGATGCGTGGAGCGTGTTGTCTGCCGCTTCAATAGCTTGCGGCCGACCAGCAACGGTGATGTAGGCGGCCGTGACGGTGGTGCCAGCAAGACGGACCGCATCGACATTGAAGACGATGACGGTGACGACGATGACGAAGACGAAGCTCCTGTCAAGGAAGCAGCCTCCATCGGGACGAAAAAGCAAGCTTCCAAAGGTCGTGGGAAAGCGAAGGGGAAGGATAAGGAAGGTGATACGAACGGCGAGGGAGGTGGGAGTGGAGCGCGGGGGAACTGGAGTTTGAACGAGTCCCTCGTTCTTGTCCGGTGCAAGAGGGACCAAGATGACTACTTCGCTAATGTGGGAACCAACTTCGCCAGAATGAAAACGAAGGACCAGAAGTGGATGGACATCGCTAAGCGGATGGAGAAGGATGGAGTTCGGCGGGACGGAGAGCAATGCATGAAGAGGTGGGAGAACATATTCGGGTGGTACAGGAAAGTGTGGGACAGGGAGAAGGACTCGGGACTGCAATCGTACTTCCTCATGACCACGAAAGCACGGAAGGAGAAAGGGTACAAGTTCAATCTAGACCGCACTGTATATGACGCGATCCACATCATGCAGGGGAACAACCAGGTCATTCACCCGCCGAATCTTGTGGACATAGGCAACACAAAAGGACAACAGTCACAACAACGTGAGCAAAGCCAAGCGGCTGCAGGTGGTGGGGAAGCAGACACTTCGGCGAGCGAGAACAGGGGAGCGGATGCGGGGGACAGGTGTGGCAGCAGGTCGTCTTCTAACGGCATTCATGGCAAGCGGAAGAACGCCAGGCAACTGGCTTTCAAGGCGGTGACGGATGTGATGAAAACGCACTCGGCCGTTGTCGCGGAGTCCGTGAACCGCGCGAGCAAGCGACAATGCGACGTGCTCCAAAGGCAGTGCGACATAATGGAGAGGGAGGCGAGAACGCAGGAGAGGCAATGCGAAGTTCTCGACGTCGGGCAACGGATGTTGTGCGATGCTCTGCTTAAGATCGCATCGGCATTGGCCAGGGATTGATTGCGAGGTTGTGACAGGAGAGCAAACCCCAAAACCCATGCGGGTGTGCTTGCAGGGGCGGGCCGCGGGGTGTCATTTCAAGGCTAGATTTCGCCCCAGTCTTTTTTTATTTTTCGTTTTTTGTTGCCTTTTTCGTGACGTTGTCCGTCATGATGCGCAACAATGGCGACCACTGGCTTTTAAACCCGTTCGTCACCTTGCGCAGGGTCATTTCACAAGGTTGTTTGTTGAACATTTTCTGTCTGTATATTTTATAGATTTTTTTTATTTTTATTTTTTTATTTTTTTTCCTCTCGTCGACCGTTCGTTTGCAATCGGCGCCGGTGGTCGCAACCCGAGCTCTTCAAGTTAGATGACGTCCAAGAGGAGTAGGGATACGCATGCCATCCATGGTGGTCGCTTCGTATGTCGCATCACCGAGGGGGTGGGTCGTTTGGAGGGAGGGTCGAAGGAGTTGGTATGGGGGAGGGGTTGGTATGGGGGAGGGGTTGGTATGGGGAAGGGAGGGGGTTGATAGGATCTGGCCCCTACGCCGACAGGGGGCAGTTCATCTCGGCGATCAATGGAGGCTGCACGACGATGCCAGCGAAACTTATTAAAGCTCATGGCAGTGTGTTTCCAAGGCCAACGTGAGAGATCGGTCGTGGGAACTCACGTGGCGAAAGTGCGCGGACGGTGGACGTTGGGAGTGTACAAAAACTTGTAGTTTGGCTCCCTGTGAGGGTCATATGTGCGCCGAGGCTGGTGGTGGCGAAGACAGTCCTCCGACGCGAGGATGGTGAATTGCGCACTCGTGTTCAAACCGGAACACAGTGCCAATAGTGATATCGTACGTGGTGGTCATCGAGGGGTTGTCGGTAGGGAAATCGAGATCAGACATCGCAGCTGCGTCGGGGTGCGGCGCTGCGCATCAATGGACATCCAGGTGGCGCTCAGAGGTCGTGTCCTCGGTCGTACGATAACTTTTTACGAGATGAGGCATCGCCGAGGAGAGAAGGACGGCAGGTTGTTTGATTTTGTGGGCGAGATCAGTGGACATGAAGTGCGGCATTACGAGGTGGACGCGAACGGAGATACAATTTCCACGTCATCGTCGCGCTGGGATATGCGGATGACATGCTGCGCGAGGTAGTTGGCTATGCAACGAAAGTCGGTCGCGCGATCCCCAACCGCTGGGAAGGAGGAGTGGACGTTCTCGCTGACATCGTCGACCTCCTAATGTCCAACATCGCGATCGAGCACGACGACCGCATGACTGTTCCTGCGGATTTTCGGGTGCACCCCGATCCTCCCATGCACAACCCCTCGGGTCTACGCGGCGAGATCCACAGCATCAACGAGTAAGTGTAGATGGAATCGATGGCGGCAAAGCGAGACCGCTCGGGTCTACGTGGCGATAGAGAGGGAGAGAGAGAGAGACGCGGAGATCGCCCGGGTCTACGTGGCGAGAGAGAGGGAGAGAGACAGAGACGCGGAGACCGCCCGTGTCTACGTGGTGAGAGAGAGGGAGAGAGAGGGAGAGAGAGAGAGACGAGGAGACAAATATATATATATATATATATATACAGAGAGAGAGAGAGAGAGAGAGAGAGAGAGAGAGAGAGAGAGAGAGAGAGAGAGAGAGAGAGAGAGAGAGAGAGAGAGAGAGAGAGAGAGAGAGAGAGAGAGAGAGAGAGAGAGAGAGAGAGAGAGAGACAGAAATCATGTTCCTAATGGATGACGCCCTTATCTTTTTTGTTTGGCTCATCTTCTTCGTTTACGATGGACAACGAGTGCGTGTCCCTGTTAGTCGAAGGTTGTAGACAGACGTTTCCCTGTGTACTTCTATTGGCATGCGGCACAAGCATGACGCACATTAGAATTGACATGGTGGGGGAGGTGGTAACACATGCGCATGGCGCATTTAGGGTTTCTGAGGTGGTGGTGGAGGTGTTCATCATCTTTTTCTTAGTTCGCCTGCACTTTTACAGTTTAATTGTGTTGACTGATTAGTGTCTTTTGCCCACTGTTTGCAGAGTGTGGACGAGCAGTTTGTGGATTTCCGATTGTGAAGAGAGTATGTGCTTTTGCGTGGCTATTTTTTTTTCGGTTTCTCTACTAGTATTTGCTTTTGGTGTGCGGATGTCAATTTCCCTCGGTTTTTCTATTATGTCGAACACATATAAAGGTCATGTGCAACAAACTTCTATTATGTACTTCGCCTCATCCATGAACGACTGTAAAACTTACAAAGCAAATGAACACACATAGTCGTTATCTTTTGCGAAAAAAACACACAGAATGAAAAGCAATTACCGTCCACGCGGAATATGAATAGGACAAGAAAGGATGATGATTTTTCGAAGGAAAGACACATAATCTTCACTTATACTGAAAACTAGAACACGAACGCGGGAGATCAAATCACAGAACTGTCATCACATCAACACATCGATACTGCGATGCCTGATCGGCCTATTCCCCTACCGACGACCGCAGACGCCACACTTCACCAAAAAGGCAACCAGCATTGATTGCTTCTCCAAGTGGAGAAGGATTGACTGGCGCCGACTAAAGAAGTAAACCCTGTAATCGAAACAAGCAAGGAGACCCCACATGACCGTCGGGTTCACACCAAAAGATTCAATTCATCATTCGCACACGTAACCCGTCACGCGAAGCCAGGGCAGCGTCGGTTGCGCCCGATTGCGACACTGGTCGTGCCGGATCTTGCAACCCCAGATCGACACGAACCAGATTGTCGTTCTCGTCCGGCTCGAGCAGGACCGAGTCGTCGAACGGTATGCCTGCCTCAGGCAACAAGTTGTGGATGATACAAACAGCCAGAAATTGCAGAGGCAGATTATCCATGTTCGTCTTGTGATGCCGGAGGAACAACCTCCACATCCCCTTCAAACGCCCGAAAGCCCTCTCCACGACTCCTCTCGTCGTCTTCTGCCGCGTGTCAAACAAGCTGATGTCCCCTGCTTGGTCGGTCCCCCCGTAGGGGACCACCATCCACGTTCTCGGCGAGTACCCGTTGTCCCCAAGCAGATACCCTGTTGTGGACACCCCCTGGCAGCAGAACAGGTTCCGCGACGAAGAGCTCGCCCAACTCCGCACGTCGAAAGAGTGAAGAATTTCTCAAAACCCGCTGGTCGTGGACGCTCCCCGGGTAGCCCATGAACACATCGAGAATTCTCATGTCGAGGTCGACGACGACTTGGGCGACGACCGAGAACTGTTGTTTTCGGTCGTAGTAGTTCTCCGACGGTGCATTGGCGGGCTTGTCCACGTACACGTGCGTGCAATCGATTGCGCCGAAACAATTAGGGAACCCCTTCGCTCCGAATGCTCAGGTCACCTGCAGCAGACGACGGCCGGTCGGCATGGCGACTTTGTCTGGATATGCAGCCAGTATTGCGTTGGCGACGTCCGTGACGGTCGCCACCCCGGACGACCTGCCGATGCCAAAGCTCGACGAAGAGTTCTCAAACGTCTCCCCGGTGGCCCACCGGTATAACGCGAAGGCGATGATAAGGTCTGTCTGCAAGGGCTCGCGGTAGTGCGTTAGTCTACGGTCGATAAATGGAGCGCAAGCCGCAACAATGTCGCCGATGGCCCTCGACATTCGAAGCTTGTCATGGAAATATTCATCCGTCGCGTCGTCTGTAATGTCCAAGTCTCGCCACGTCCCGCCCATTCGTCTTTTCATCCACCACCGCGGCGTGTCCCTGGGCAGAACACCAGCAACAATTGCGTTGGACAACAGGAAAGGAGCATCTGATAGACCGGACGATGCACAGACGTCTGCCAACGCCTGGGCTATGGCGGCCTCCCTCCTCCCCCTTCCCCTCCCACCCGCACGCCGCAACCCGTTCACCGTCTCCATGAACCGGCACACAACGAGGACAGCACTGGCAACCATGCTCTTCTCACTGGTTGACAATCTCCTCCCCGCCTGTGGATCGCGCCCACTGTTGTCCATAGCTAGACTACGCTGCGCACAAAACCCACACGACAGCGACACGCGAAGGCACGTGCGCACACTCAACGATGGATGACTGCCGCATACACTGCGGGGAACGCGACGGCAGGGGGTCCAGAAAGCGATGAGCGCGAAGGGAACTGGTGGGCGCAGAATTTGAATTTGAATGTTCGGGGTCCTCGCACGCTTTAACTTCCACGGCCGAATGACGCTGCGCGCCCGCCTTGGGGAAATGGCGGGCCTGGGTTTCCCACGGGCCCAAAGCTGGCGGACACGATTTTGTCCGCCGCAACACTGGGTCGGACACTCACATTCAATTCTCGGCCGCGTAAGGCGCGAACGGGGGCACCTGAAATGTAAGTGCGATAAAGTGTAGGGTTTTCGTAAGTGGTTGTGGAACGAAAAACGGAGTAAGGGAAACTAATCACATTTTCGTCGTAAGGGCGCCCTTACAAAGGAAGTGTTTTCTCATGGTGTCGAACGAGGCCCTTAGGACCTCGTTCGACACCACTTGGAAATAGCTGTTTTTCAAGGACGCGTCGTTCGACCCCTCCCGAATTACGCACCCTTGAAGTCACTAATGTTGTTTCCACATCCCCGCGGCCAAGTGTCCGCCCTTGAAACGGAAGTGCGGTCCAAGCAAATCGACGAAAATCCCAAGGGTGCCTCAGGAGGTCACTTGGGGCGCAAGGGTTTCACCCTTCAAAAGGGGTAATATACGACCTTTTTCTTTTTTACTTTTTTTCCACCAATCACCACTGTTCGTGGTGCAATGCCGTCAGCACTTCAGTTTCGAGGACGGCCGTCACAAGGGTTTCATCAAGGGGTAGTGGAACGAAAAAACAAGTTAGGGGAAATTAATCACCTTCCGTGAGTTAGGGTGCCCTTGAAACTCAAGTGTTTTCAAGTGGGGTCTAACGAGGCCCTTAGGGTATATCATTTCCCAGAAGTAGTGGGATCAATAATTAAAGAGAAAAGAAATATATGCTGTATTGAGTCTATGATTCTCAGGTCCCCTTCGAAACTACCTTCTTCCCCGGAAAACAACGTACGTCATTATAGCAGTATCTAGACTGAAAGATGCCTCAAAGACAGGCGGTATTGACTGTATTGAGTCTATGATTCTCAGGTCCCCTTTGAAACTACCTTCTTCCCCCGAATATAACGTACGGTCATTATAGCAGTATCTAGACTGAATGATGCCTCAAATACAGCTATAATGACGGGGTAAGAAGGTAGGCTCTCTCAAGTGATGCCATACTACCCTCCATATATTATATCATGTGTTGGCATAGTTGTTTTTTTTTTCTTCCCACAAGTATATCGAAATGATCGCACGTTTGACTTCAACTAGCTAGTTTTCATCTGTTAGGCTGCTTCTTTCTTTTCTTTTCTTTTCTTTTTTTTCTTTTTTTTTTTTCTATTTTTTCAAAAACAGGGGCCCAGTGCCCAAGGCTAATATTACCAATAAGAGGAATGAGGCCGGGGTCCTCACAGTCTGCCCGGAGAAACCGAACCGAACTTGCTGAGAACCAGGCTCAGCGTCCCTCATGTGGTGATGATGATGATGATGATGATGATGATGATGATACTAATGATGATGATGGTGATGGTGATAAAACATTGTATTAATTGTAGTAAGCTATGCTATATCAACAATTCTGGTCTCCTAATCCTAGAGCAACTTCTAGCCCTCCCTGTACCAGGACATTGTAAATCCGAGACAAAACCAACCTAACCAATGTCGCCCATAGCTGATCTCTCCTTGCCACTGAGCAGGCTGCTTCTGTCTTTATGATCTGTTGGAAATCCGTTAGATACTTGAGTGTTTGGAAAATTGTGGTGGATTTCAGGAGGTTTTGTCATCATCGTGAAACAAGGGTTCTTGAGGATTCGTAGTTTTCTCATCATCTGTTAGGCTGCTGCTTTCTTCAGCGATCGTAAAAAAGGATTCGTAGTTTTCTCATCATCTATCCCGAAGTTCAGTAGCTTGTTCACGATCGTGGAGGATACTCTCAAAGCCGAAACCAGGTAATGGCCCCGGTATCTCAATTTGTTCATACTCTCCGAGTCAAAGCCGAAACCGGGGTAATGGCCCCGGTATCTCAATTTGTTCATAAATTGTTTGTTACATGAACTTTTTTTTGTTTTTTTCACATATGGGATGCTGGGCCCGATTCCGAGCACGTGCTGCTCCCCACGAATAGATTGGAGCACGTCTTAAAAAAAGAAAACAGAAGGAAAAAAAAAAGGCTGCTTCTTTATATCACACTACTGTCTCACGACATTATTAATTGCCAAAGCCTGATGTACAGGCGAGGTGTGATTAATACTGATTATCATCCCTTTATAATATATATATATATATTTTTTAACTATATCCCTTTTTACCATACATGGAGTTGTTGTGTTAATCTTTTTTTTTTTTTTTTTTTTTTTAAATACTTTCATGTGGCAAGGTTAACCACAAGTACACGGCCGAGGTAAACTTTCCTAAAAGTTTGGCGACTCACCCCCCGTGCGCGCCTGTGGCTGAGCAGAAATTGTTTTTGTCCCACGCATCAGGGTTGGCGCTGGCGCCACCCGGGACAAAGAAAAAAGTTCCCCGGCTTCCGCCAGGTGAGTCCGCTAAGTTTTTTTTTGTTTTTTTGTTTTTTTGATGTCCGCTAAGTTTTCGGAATCAGTTGTTTTGGTTCGGAAAGAACAGGCGTAGGTGTACTTGTGGTGTAATGGAGTTAATTGGATACCAAATAATGAAAACGATCTCCTTTGGTTGTGATCATGCGACTGATGGTTATCGGCGGCCGGTTTCTCCTTCCATGATATAGCCCCCATTTGAAGCCTTAACTGACCCAATAGAACGCTCGGTCATTATCGCTCTACCTAGACTGAAAGTTGCGCAAAATACGGCTATAATGACTGGGTTTTGTATTCGGTTGATGACCGTAGTTGGAACCTCCGGTCGCTCCATCTATCGCGGTGGGGACCACACCTGTCGGAAAACGGGTCCAGCATCCCATAGACAAGAACAGACATAGGGCGTGGCTCCACTACTCCCGAAATGCACAAAAGACAAAAAATCATGGCGACGTATCTTTCCTTGTTCTAGCGGAAGATTCACTCTGGTTTTGCACATTTTGAGAGTGGTGGAGCGAGGCCCATACTTCCAGTTGGTAAACAGAAAAGACAGCTTGTCTTCCCCAGCATTGATTGCCCAAGAGATACCCGGGGATTGACTGCACAGGTTTTGAGGGGTACTCGGTACTGTGACAATATCGACTGAAAGGCCAGACCTGCCTCCTCAGAGCAACACATGGCTGCCTGATTTTCACCATGAACCCTTAGCTAGCAGAGTGAACTTCTTTAGGACTTCCCCCCCTACCACTGCCGTCCACGATGGCGAGAACCGATGGCGGGAAAAGTTTGGGGAAGTGTGAGAGGGGGCGCAGCTGGACAACACGGTCGATCATCCTCGTCCAAGTATGAAATCTGAGATGATTGGTCCTGCCCCCACTAGCCAGAATTTCCCCTGCCTCTCCAGGGCTTCCCTATCCCTCCATAACACCTTTGCAATCCATCCCCTGATTTCTCCCCCTCCTCAGCCAGTATTTGCTGAAGTGTTCAACGTGTTGTTTGATTTCTGCTTTGGAGTGTAGAGAGGCAAGCCTCCCTTTTTTTTTTTTTTTTTTTTTCTTTTCACTGTTTCCCATTGTAAAGTGATTTGTGACTGAACCTGCTGTTTGAGTGTTTCCACCGTGACGAAACCTGGCCCCTCAGAAATCTGTGACTCCCTCGATCTCAAAAGTGCATCGCCTCCACCATGATGCCCAAAACACCGCCCTTGGCCGGCGTTCGAAACATGTTGTGCTCCCTGCTCAAAGTGGGTGGTGGCTTCCTCCGGGTGACAGTTCCCGCACAGCAAAGCCTTCCAATCCCATGGCCGGGGCTCCGTCGTTCCCATTTGCCTCCGTACCCGGTCCCACCACCTCCAGAGCCAGACTGATCCTGGGCACTGCAAAAAAATGTGTTCATTTGTCCCCAGTCTTCGCTGCGACCAGAAGGCCGCTATGCAGAGCTTGCATGAGGGCTGCAGGGCAAGCCCCTCACTTCTAAGCTTGTTCTATCTATTAACCAATCATTTGTAGGCAGGCGTCTATGTTCCACCTGCTATTGTAGCAATGCCTAAAAAAAAAAAAAAAAAAAAAAAAAAAAAAAAAAAAGAAGCAATGCCAGCTTTGCTGGGGAGGCCTTACTCAGTCTAAACCATTTGAGGGAGAAAAGGGTGTCCCCTCTCCACTCTATGTTCAGGTGTTTCACCCATCTGGCCTCCACCGCGTCTTTCAGGCTCACACTGCGACCCAGCACACGGTATCTCGAGTCTCGACTTAACATAGTACAGCGTATGCAGTCGCCTCTTACCATTTCTCCCGCTACCCAGCTGCAGCTTCGAGGTCCAGTTTGTGGGGTCGACGCCAAGATGTGAGATTGGTGTGGTAGGTTCATAACCCAAACTCCTGTCCTTTCCTTTCAATTAGCACCCTGATACGGAAAGCCTCCGTCTTTTTGTACCACCTGACTCGCCCCCTTCACCTCTTGTCAGCCTGTTGTCAGCCCCACCCTTGTGGAACAGGTTGAGCAGCACTTCCCCTTCCGATTGCCCCTTTCGGATCTCGACCACACTCCCCCGTCCCAACCATGTCCTCGTTTCCTCTCAGGGGCACGGCAGTCTTGAATACGCTATTACTTTTTTTTTTTTTTTTTTTTTTTTTTTTTTTTTTTTTTTTTTGTCGTCAGGGTGCTAGGGGTGCTGATAAGAGCAGTCATGCTGTGAAAAAGGAGCTAGCTCAGTAGGTACTGCCATCAGACTGTCACCCCACAGACTCAGGTATAGAGCCTCGAGGACGAGCAGTCATGCTATTACAAATTTAATTATCAAGTAATCAACTTTTTTTTTTTTTCAAGTAATCACCTTCACAAACTTTACCCATTATTTATAAGGGCCAGATCCCACTGGCAAAGAGCATTGGAAGAAGTGTCTGAATCTGGACGTGTTCCACGCGGAGGTGCAGAAAAGTAGATCAATCACAGTTTTTGGCACCTGTCCACAAACACGTCCACATTCAGACACCTACTGCAATCCTCTTTGCCAGTGGGATCTCGCCCTAAACCGTCCACAGAAGCTTCTTCGAGTGCCAATCACCCCAGTACATATCCTGATGATGGACTGGCCCAAGCTGACGCGATTCATCATTCCCATGATTTCCAGGTGCAGGTCCAGGTGCAGGCTCCACTCACGGACTGAGGGACACGACTGTGCCATAGTC